CAGCCCCCAGGTAAGACAAAGGGGTGTACTTTTAAACCCCGGTTTTACACCTTTTGTGCACTTCAGTATGGCTTTGGTCAGAATTTTACTTTAGTGTCTCTGAAAAGTTCCCACCTTTTTTAGGGAAGTGTTTTAAATTTTATTGAGGTAAAGGTAATTAAAAAAGGTTTTTTAAAAATTATAAATTTGTAACCCTTTTGTGAATTAGGTAGGTGGTAAACCCGGGAAAAACCCGCAAAGAAAATTTTTTTTTTAAAAATTTTTGTTTGTTTTTCTTGTGGGTTGGAAACACAGTTGATTAACCTCATAAAATTCCCCGTATGTAGATTTTTGGTTTTTTGACAAACCCGGGTCGTAGTCAAGGGGGTTTTCCCGGGCAAAAACCCGGTCAGTAGGGGCACTGTTTTGACAACCGGTCAAATAGACACTGGTCCCGGACAAACCGGCCAATAGTCACTGGTCCTGACAAAACCGGCCCGTAGTCCCCTGGTCCTGACAAAACCGGTCAGTGAGGTGGGCCTGACAACCCGGGGCAATAGGGCGCTGGGCCTGACAAAAAGGTCAGTAGCACTGGGCCCCCGACAAAACCCGGGGCAGTAGACCTTTGGGCCCGCAAAACCCGGCCCGTAGTTTACTGGTCCTGGACAAACCCGGGGCCCGTTGTCATGGTCCCTGAAAACCGCCCAGTAGTCCAATTGGGCCCGACAACCAGGCCAGTAGTCATTTGGGCCTGACAACCAGGCCCGTTGTCACTGGGCCTTTAAAAACCAGGCCCCCTAAACATGGTCCTGACAACCCGGCCCGTAAATCACTGGTCCCGAAAAAAGGGCCCCCTAGTTCCCCGGTCCCCGACAACGGGCCGTAGTCACTGGTCCCCGACAACCAGGCCCCCCTTTGACACAGGTCCCGAAAAACCGGGGCCCCTAGACACAGGTTTCCCGCAAAACCCGGGGCCCCTAGGGCAAAAGGTCCCGGGCAACCAGGCCATAGTCACTGGTTCCCGAAAACCCGGCCCCTAAACACAGGTCCCCGGAAAAACCCCCGGCCTCTAGGGGCCAGGTTTCCCGACAAAAAGGGGCCCCTAAAAACACAGGTCCTGACAAACCAGGCCCCTTGACACAGGTCCTGAAACCGGCCAAATAGACAAGGGTCCTGACAAACCCGGCCAAGGGCCAAAAGGGCCGCAAACCCGGCCCCTAAACACTGGTCCTGCAGAAAACCACCAAACGTTAAAGTTTTTACTTTAAAATTTTTATATTCCCGCAGACAGGGTTGTTCTTCAAAGATGGAATTTCCCGTATATCATCGACCATAACAAGTGAATCCTCCTCCCCGGGGAGATGCTGGGAAACGCGGCAGTCAGGACCAGACAAAGAACAGGGATTCTGCAAAGTTTTTCAAGGGGAAAAGGGCAAAGAATGTAAACCCCCTTAGTTTAAACTGTTTGTTTTAAAAATTTTAAAAATTGGGTTTTTTAATACATGATGTTCTTCAATGTAATTGGGGTAATTTTAATTTTTATTCCCCCTGTCAACTCTGGGTATTAAACAGAGGGAACTTGTTTTTTCCAAGTTCTCCTGAAATTTTTAAGTTCCCTTTTTGTATTTAATTCCCCCCCCCCCTAGACGGGGGGTTCTTAACCAGGGGTCTTCCCTGCCCCCTTGGGGGGGGTTGTTTTCATTTGGAATTTGGCAGAGGGGGCTGATTATTTTAAACTCCTTTGATTTTTTACCCCTTTTCTTTTGTGGACTGTTTAAAAACCACTGTGTGGGGAAAAAATTTCCTCAATTTAAAAATACCCAAGTGTCCTTTTTTTCAAAACCTGTCGGTTCTCTGGGAAACCCTTTATCAAGTCCCTTTTAAATTAATAATTTAAACTTGGGTTTAACTGGGTCCCGTTCTTTTTGCTTGGACTGGTGGTTTCGTGGGGTAAAATTTCTCCAAAGTTACCTGGTGAAATGTATGCTCTCAGTTTTTCTTTTTTCCCCAAAAAAAAATCTTAGAAGATTAAGTGGGTTTTAAAATTTTAAGATAGGCGGTTTATAAATACTGAGGGTCTTTAGAATATCCGGGGTGACCGGTGAAGGTTTAGTGCCCCGTTTATGTGGGGTTTCAAGGGTTTACTGCTTGAAAATTGGGGCACTCTTTCCCCGCTCCATTTAAATTTGTTTTTACCTCTTCCCTTAAAGCATGTATTTGAAACCTGCCCCCCACAAACTCTTCAAAAATTTTTTAACTTCCTGACAACTCCAAGAATGGAAAAAAAATACTTCCCTAAAATCTTGGGGGTCAAACTGAGTTTTTTCCCCTTCCCGTTGTAAACCCTTTGTTGTGGGGTACTTTTTGGGGAAAACCCCGTCTCTGTCCACCCTCTAATTCCTCTCCAAAATAAATTTTTTATGTCGTTATCACGTCCCCCCTGTTTTTCAATGGGTTTTCAGGTTTGGGTTTCCCCTTAAACCCCTCCTTGTAGGACATACCCCTTAGCTCCGGGGGGCTAATTTGTTACAAACCCCTTTTACTTCCCTCTTTTTCCCCTTCGGTCTTACCAATGTGGGGGTTCCCTACTAGTGCTGCATGCTCCAATATAGAACCCGATGTACACGGTTTTTCAGTGACGCCCAACACCGTCCCCGTGACCCGAGAAAAAAACGGTTTTACTTGACTGACGAACACGGTGTACAGTGACTGACTTTCCCTATTTAAGGGAAAGAAACGCCATTATTAGGTTTTTCCAGGCAACCCCTTTTGCCCGCTTAAGGGATTTTAAAGGAAAAAAAGTTTTAAAGTTAAAGACTGTGTGAATTAGGTAGGTGGTAACCCAGGAAGGCCAGACAAAGTAACTTATTTCAAAATCTAGTTTGTTGTTTTGTGTGTTGGATCACAGTAGATTACGACCTCATAACTTCCCTGTATGTAGATTGTGGTCTTGACAACCAGGTCAGTAGTCACTGGTCCTGACAACCAGGTCAGTAGTCACTGGTCCTGACAACCAGGTCAGTAGTCCACTGGTCCTGACAACCAGGGTCAGTTTGTCACTGGTCCTGACAACCAGGTCCCGTAGTCACTGGTCCTGACAACCAGGTCAGTAGTCACTGGTCCTGACAACCAGGTCAGTAGTCACTGGTCCTGACAACCAGGTCAGTAGTCACTGGTCCTGACAACCAGGTCAGTAGTCACTGGTTCCTGACAACCAGGTCAGTAGTCAATGGTCCTGACAACCAGGTCAGTAGTCACTGGTCCTGACAACCAGGTCAGTAGTCACTGGTCCTGACAACCAGGTCAGTAGTCACTGGTCCTGACAACCAGGTCAGTAGTCACTGGTCCTGACAACCAGGTCAGTAGTCACTGGTCCTGACAACCAGGTCAGTAGTCACTGGTCCTGACAACCAGGTCAGTAGTCACTGGTCCTGACAAACCAGGTCAGTAGTCACTGGTCCTGACAACCAGGTCCCGTAGTCACTGGTCCTGACAACCAGGTCAGTAGTCACTGGTCCTGACAACCAGGTCAGTAGTCACTGGTCCTGACAACCAGGTCAGTAGTCACTGGTCCTGACAACCAGGTCAGCAGTCACTGGTCCTGACAACCAAGGTCAGTAGTCACTGGTCCTGACAACCAGGTCAGTAGTCACTGGTCCTGACAACCAGGTCAGTAGACACTGGTCCTGACAACCAGGTCAGTAGTCACTGGTCCTGACAACCAGGTCAGTAGTCACTGGTCCTGACAACCAGGTCAGTAGTCACTGGTCCTGACAACCAGGTCAGTAGTCACTGGTCCTGACAACCAGGTCAGTAGTCACTGTGTCCTGACAACCAGGTCAGTAGTCACTGGTCCTGACAACCAGGTCAGTAGTCACTGGTCCTGACAACCAGGTCAGTAGTCACTGGTCCTGACAACCAGGTCAGTAGACACTGGTCCTGACAACCAGGTCAGTAGTCACTGGTCCTGACAACCAGGTCAGTAGTCACTGGTTCTGACAACCAGGTCAGTAGTCACTGGTCCTGACAACCAGGTCAGTAGTCACTGGTCCTGACAACCAGGTCAGTAGACACTGGTCCTGACAACCAGGTCAGTAGACATGGTCCTGACAACCAGGTCAGTAGTCACTGGTCCTGACAACCAGGTCAGTAGACACTGGTCCTGACAACCAGGTCAGTAGTCACTGGTCCTGACAACCAGGTCAGTAGACACTGGTCCTGACAACCAGGTCAGTAGTCACTGGTCCTGACAACCAGGTCAGTAGACGCTAGGCCTGACAACCAGGTCAGTAGACACTAGGCCTGACAACCAGGTCAGTAGTCACTGGTCCTGACAACCAGGTCAGTAGACACTGGGCCTGACAACCAGGTCAGTAGACACTAGGCCTGACAACCAGGTCAGTAGACACTAGGCCTGACAACCAGGTCAGTAGACACTGGTCCTGACAACCAGGTCAGTAGTCACTGGTCCTGACAACCAGGCCACTAAACACTGGTCCTGACAACCAGGCCAGTAGTCACTGGTCCTGACAACCAGGCCAGTAGCACTGGTCCTGACAACCAGGCCATAGTCACTGGTCCTGACAACCAGCCAGTAGTCACTGGTCCTGACAACCAGACCACTAGACACAGGTCCTGACAACCAGGCCACTAGACACAGGTCCTGACAACCAGGCCACTAAACACTGGTCCTGACAACCAGGCCAGTAGTCACTGGTCCTGACAACCAGGCCAGTAGTCACTGGTCCTGACAACCAGGCCAGTAGTCACTGGTCCTGACAACCAGGCCACTAGACACAGGTCCTGACAACCAGGCCACTAGACACAGGTCCTGACAACCAGGCCACTAAACACTAGTCCTGACAACCAGGCCAGTAGTCACTGGTACTGACAACCAGGCCAGTACTCACTGGTCCTGACAACCAGGCCACTAAACACTGGTCCTGACAACCAGGCCACTAAACACTGGTCCTGACAACCAGGCCACTAAACACTGGTCCTGACAGACAACACACCACAACGTAATGTTTCACATAACATTCTATATTCCAGCAGACAGCTATGTCCTTCAACGATGAGAATCCAGTATCATCATCGACCATAACAAGTGAATCCTCCTCCCAGGAGGAGATGCTGGAAGCAGCAGCAGTCAGACGCAGACAAAGAAACAGGGATTCTGCAAAGAATTACAGAGAGAGACAAAGAATGTAAGCCCCCTTAGATAATCTGTTGTATTAATAATTTTAATATCTGGGTGTAATACATGACTGTTCATCAGTGTATATTGTGTATTGATGATTCTTATTCTCTGTCAACTCTGGTATTAAACAGATGTAACTTGTGTTTACCAAGTTCCTCCTGATCTGTTAAGTTCTTTTTCGTATATAATTCCCCCCCATAGACGAGGGGTTCTTAACCAGGGGTCTTCATGCCCCTTGGGGGTTGATTACATCGACTCTTGGCAGAGGGACTGATTACTTCAAACTCCTTCTGATTTTCACCATTCTTCTTTTGTAGACTGATAAAGCCACTGTGTGGCGAAACGTTTCCTCAATAAAGATACCCAAGTGTCCATTTTATCAACCTGTCGGTTCTCTGAACCATTTATCAAGTCTTGTAGTTAATAATAATCTCTGATTTAACTGGGTCCAGTGTCTATTTTGCTGTGACTGGTGATACAGTGAGTGTAAGTATCTCACAAAGTTACCTGGTGACTGTATGTCTCAGTCTTCTTAATCACATTAGAATCTTAGAAGATTAAGTGTTTAATCTATTAAGATAGACGGTTTATAAGTACTGAGGTCAGTCAGAATATCCGAGTGTGACCAGGTGAAGGTGAGTGCTGTTTATGTGGTTGCAAGGGTCACTGCTTGCTACTAGGTCACTCTCCCTGCTCCATGAACTTTGTTGTACCTCTTCTTAAAGCTATGTATAGATCCTGCCTCCACTACATCACTCTCCAAATTATTTAACTTCCTGACAACTCCAAGACTGAAGAAATACTTCGTAACATCTCTGTGACTCATCTGAGTTTTTACCTTCCAGTTGTAACCCTTTGTTGCTGTGTCACATTTCTGGAACATCCTGTCTCTGTCCACCCTCTCAATTCCTCTCAGTATTTTATATGTCGTTATCACGTCCCTCCTGTTTTTCAGTGTTGTCAGGTTGATTTCCCTTAACCTCTCCTTGTAGGACATACCCCTTAGCTCCGGGACTAATCTGTTACAAACCTTTGCACTTCCTCTAATTTCATGACGTGCTTGACCAGATGTGGGTTCCATACTAGTGCTGCATGCTCCAATATAGACCTGATGTACACGGTGTACAGTGACTGACGAACACGGTGCACAGTGACTGACGAACACGGTGTACAGTGACTGACGAACACGGTGTACAGTGACTGACTTACACATACTAAGGTAACGAAACGCTATTATTAGGTTTGCCAGGCACCCATATGCTGCACCAGTTATTTGCTTGATGTGCCAGGTGTGGAGCCAGCTCCATATGTTGACTACTGTTCGATTCCCCATTCAGCTTTCTGTTTACCCATTAACAATCGTTCATTGTGCTTTATCGTGACTTAATAGTGGTAAATATGATTTTCTTGAACAGAGAAATGGAGAAACTAGAGACAGACTTGGCCAGAACTCAGGATGTCAATGAAAGAGGGAGAAGGGCTCTGAGACGAATGAAAAATGAGAACCAGAAAGAAAGTGAGAAAGTAAGCAACTTAGAGAGACAAGAAGAGTCTGTGAGGGAAGAAGGAAGAACCAAGAAAAGGATTCTACGAGAGAAGAAAATTAAGAAAATGATGTTGAGACATCAGGGTGAGTTAGTGTTGGAAACTTTACCAGATAATGACCCACTTAAATCTTATTTAAGTGACCTACTGAGTCGTTATACGCCTGTTTATCATCAGTAACATCACTACTAGTATATACACTTAAAAGTGTATATCTGTCAATGTATATACACTGAGAAGTGCGTATCTGTCAATGTATATACTCTGAGAAGTGCGTATCTGTCAGTGTATATACTCTGAGAAGTGCGTATCTGTCAGTGTATATACTCTGAGAAGTGCGTATCTGTCAGTGTATATACTCTGAGAAGTGCGTATCTGTCAGTGTATATACTCTGAGAAGTGCGTATCTGTCAGTGTATATACTCTGAGAAGTGCGTATCTGTCAGTGTATATACTCTGAGAAGTGCGTATCTGTCAATGTATATACTCTGAGAAGTGCGTATCTGTCAGTGTATATACTCTGAGAAATGCGTATCTGTCAATGTATATACTCTGAGAAGTGCGTATCTGTCAATGTATATACTCTGAGAAGTGCGTATCTGTCAATGTATATACTCTGAGAAGTGCGTATCTGTCAATGTATATACTCTGAGAAGTGTGTATCTGTCAATGTATATACTCTGAGAAGTGCATATCTGTCAATGTATATACTCCAAGAAGTGCATATCTGTCAGTGTATATACTCTGAGAAGTGCGTATCTGTCAATGTATATACTCTGAGAAGTGCGTATCTGTCAATGTATATACTCTGAGAAGTGCGTATCTGTCAGTGTATTGTGATATACTCTGAGAGTGCGTATCTGTCAGTGT